GTAAATATATTGATGTACAGGCACACATTCACACCCACATCCAACCACACAGCTGCGAGAAGCCATTGACGAGGCGACTGCCGTAACCACAGCGGAATGTGAAGATCTTCAACTGCACCTCTCGCGCTTCGATACGTTTGGCAAAATGGAAATCAAAAAGATCAAAGTGTCACCCGACGGGTTTGTGCAACAGGCATTGCAGTTGGCCTTTCACCGCACCCATGGCTTTGTAAGTGATAGTGGTGGTAAGGGGTAGATAGTGTTTGTAAATGATAGTGTTTGTAAGGGGTAGGTAGTGTTTGAAAGTGATAGTGTTTGTAAGGGGTAAAAAGTGCTTGTAAATGATAGTGTTTGTAAGGGGTAAAAAGTGCTTGTAAATGATAGTGTTTGTAAGGGGTAGATAGTGTTGGCAAGTGATAGTGATTGTAAGGAGTAGATAGTGATTGTAAGGAGTAGATAGTGATTGTAAGGAGTAGATAGTGATTGTAAGGAGTAGATAGTGATTGTAAGGATTAGATAGGGATTGTAAGTGATAGTGTTTGTAAGGGGTAGAGAGTGTTTGTAGGGTTTACAAACCCTTAAACCCTAACCCTTACCTTAAACCCTAAAACCTCAAAACCCTAAAACTCTATCCTTGGTTTATGGTCAATGAACTTAAAAACTTTAGTACATACATACGTCCCTCACATGTCCATATTCTCACTCATGTACCTCTATTACGATATACTCGTGTGCAAACAGATCCCGCAGACATACGAGTCATCCATGACACGACTGTACCAGGCGGGACGCACAGAGACCGTACGCTCAGCTACGCCTGAGAGTAGTGCCTTCGTGATGGCGATGGTATGTAACTTCAGACAATGTTTTCATAGTACGAATAGTAATATACCTAGTAGAAATGAAGTGTATTGCTCGTATGATATGTGGAAGGTAGGGTGAACAACTTCATAATGTTAGTACAGTATAAGGTGACTATGTTGTGTGACAGTAAGAAACGTAGTGTAGTGCTACTATATAGTTAGCATGATTTGTTATAGTGAGAAACTTTCTTTATTGATAGTATACGGTGAGCATGCTGTGTGATAGTAGCAAACGTAGTGTATCGGTAGTATGGTATGTGGTAGACAGGATCATCAATGATGATAGAATAATGTTAGCATGAGTGGCACTGTGAGGAACTTCAATGTTAGCAGAATGATGTTAGTGTGATATATCATGGCAAACAACTTTATTCAATGTTAGTACAAAGTAACTGTCATACGTGATGTACTATGGATATACAAAATATGATATGTGGTAGGAAGGATCTCCAGTCAAGTGCAGTATATAGCTAGCTTGTCATCTGAAGTGATAGTCTGAGCCAATTTAGCTTGATGGTGTACGGCGGCGGTACTACATGCTATTTTTTTTTTTGATTTGTAGGGTTTGCGGTATAGGATAGTTCTGTCTGGGGTGCTGGCTTCATGTCATGATAGGTATCTGTGCCAGGAAATGGTGTCAGTGTTGATCAATGCTATAACATGCACACACACTTGCAAGTAACATACATGTACTTCTTATCTTAAATATAATACATACACTATTTCTTTATAAGTAACATACATGCACTATTTCGTTCTTATCAACACACATAACTCCATGTTCTTGTGGATAGCTCAATGACGCCTCTAAAGACGAGAAGACCACTCTCCTGCGTGCGGCATGCGAAAAACACCAACAGATCAGTCGTGAGGCTATGACTGGCCAAGGCTGTGACCGACACATGTTTGCGCTATACATTGCGTCGAAGGTATGTGACAGTATACTTTTATTGGAGTATATGGGCGTGTATGTCTATGTAGTTTGTGTATAGTTACCCTATTGTACGTCAACGGAGCCTCTATATATTGAAGTATATGGGCGTGTATGTCTATGTTAGTTTGTGTGTAGTTACCCTATTGTACGATCAACGGAGCCT